AGGTACTTGAACTTCTCCACCTGCTCCACTGCCTCTCTGTTAATCTGAAGAGAGCAACGGGCAGGAGAACAAGAAAGCACTAGCCATTTAGTTTTAGACGCGTTCACACGCATGCCGGTCACGTCGCACTCGTCTGCGAACCTTTCTAAGGAGCACTGGAGATCAGTTTCAGAAGATGTTAATAAAACAAGGTCGTCTGTAAACAGCAACCTTGTCGACTTCACATCGACATCGATACTCTCATCGCCTTGGCACCTCCTGACTATCCATGTACAACACAAAGAGGATAGGGGACAGGACGCAGCCTTGGCGGAGACCAGTGCGAACGTTGAATGGTTTCTGCTTAACGCCATCAACTCTGACGCAGCACTGCTATCAGAATACAATAACTGAATGGCCCTTAGCAGCTGGCCATCTATCCCGTATGCACGAAGGCATGTCCACAGACTGTTGCGTGGGATGCGGTCATAGGCTTTTTCTAGGTCCACAAAACACATGTACACCGGATGGGCGTACTCCCACGATTTGTCAACAATCTGGTGCAGGGCAAATATATGGTCAGAGGACCGGGCCGGAAGCCACCAGTTTTCAAGTTATAAAATAAAAATATATGCGGGAGAAGAAACAGGAAGTTACGAAAATGAAATCCTAGCGAAAAATAAACATCAAAAATGTAGTCTAAGCCGTGAGCAGACGTTGAAAATTTTCATTCCGTTAATTTCCCTAACCATCAGCAACATTTTGGGGATCAAAGCCAAAATCAAAGTCAACCAAATCAAAATCAACTAGTCATTAAATGTCATACTGAATAGGGCAGTACCTCATTCAAAACAACATTTCATTTTAAACTGTTTTAACTGACAACAAAAAGGGCTCAATTTATCAGTGATTCATATATTAAGGTTGCTGCTCAGTTAGTCTGCCAGCAAAATATCGAGTCATCGTTTGTTTATAAAGCAAATATAGACAGAAGAAAACTATTCTGATTACACAGAAAAATGCAAAGAAAGGACTGATAGTCAGCGCTCGTACCAATTTCCGTAAAGCGTATAATGTATCATGTCCATTACCCTGTAGACGAAGCATTCTCTGTCTAGTGCAACGCTACTCGACAGTAGAGAATAAAAAGTTTGCCTGACTCCAATGCAGTAATCGAAGTGATATTGATCAAAATTAAAATGCGGGGCATTTCAGGTCTTAAAGAAGAACATTTTTGTCAGTCCGGTCGCGGCTCTGACCGTCAAAAATATTCTCAAGTTTTATCGCGATACACATTTGAAATTCCTATTCATCACCATTATCTACTGTTCACTTGCGACCCATAAGTTGTTCTCCGCCATCATCTTTAGCCGTGCAACAGAAGCATACGCTATTTAAGAAGCGATAGTTCCCTCCGTCAAATGATTAACAGTGATTCAAAGAGGGACCGAGAGTGCTGTTTACTAAAAATGTTTGACATTAAACTCTACATTGATAACTATTTTAACAGCATCGCTGGTAACAAGCCATACCTTGAACGTATCCGCGAAGAAAATCTTCGCAGTATTGTCGAGCATGCCGAGAATGATGTATTTCCCGTCAGAAGTAAACTTAAAGCACGTAACGTTTTCGTCAGTATCCAACGCGGTCGACAGAGACAGCACTAGCTTGGTCCTTAAAAAGTACTTATAACATTAAGTACAAACATTTTTGTAAGATGAAGAACAGAAAGGCCAACAGAGCAATTATTTCTTAGAGAAGCACATTTTGTCCACGTCGTCTCTACAAAGTCAGCCACGACATTTACACCGTAGAGAATGGGCAAAGACCAAAAACGTCACCAGGAAGTCTTTCCGCTGCTGCTACGTTAGCAGGGAAGGTCTGGGTGAAACCTGGAATGGCTAATTAATAAAACAACTGTAGACAAGACCTATCATATCTCTGCTTGTTCGATGAAAAATATACATAGGAGAAGCACAATAACCCGGCTAAAGTGCGTAACGAATAGTTTTCAATATTTAACGTATGATCATATACTACGCTCTGAGCTTACACAAATAAGGAATATCTAAAACTCTGACGCTGATATAATCACTTTACATAATGCAATTATGTTCAAAATTCCACGTGATGCGTGAGTTGAGGTTCAACTCTGAAAATAATCGAATTTTTTTGCTTTTATCAGTAGTCGCTGTGGACTGCAGTGTTCATTCTTGGTGATCTACTAATGCATTCACGGCCTATTCAGATCATTACTATTACAGAATGAAACATGATGATGCAAATGTCGCTTGTTGCCGAAAACATGCAGGTATGACTGAATTAGAAGACTAGGAGTGGTAGTTAAGCTCGCTTTGTCTTTACCAATCGTGCTATTAAAAGCTGAATTAAAGAACTTAACCATACCAAAGAACAAATGCCCACGCATACTGAATAAAGACAGTGTTCGGAAGTCACGAACTGTGATTGCCATATGTTGCATGTTAACGACAAATTTACTGCATTTTTAGACACGAAACGTGGTACGTGGTACAAAATTACAACTTTTCTACAGCAAAAGAATGTCATAAGTGTTGCTTTATGATTGTTGCCTTACAGATGAAGACATCGAAAACTAGTTTCCGACAGACACGACTTTGGATGAATTTCTGGATTCCACAAGAAAAGGAATAGGTAAAATTTTGCTTGAATCGATATCACGAGTTTTCACCTGTTCGTCGCCATTCAGGCACACGGGAAACGGCGAATGAGAGGACGTTATCAGACCGAGTGACGAAGACGATAGTCCAAAACTATTAGAACAACCCAAAAAATCACCTGATTTCTGGTAAAAATTGATATGTAGGTACGTCAGGCGCCACGAACGCAGAAGACATGAAAGGCATTCGCTTAGGAAATAAAGGGTCAGAGACCACCAGGGAAGAAATCCATACTTCACGCAATGATGAATGATTTATTTTCAAACGGAAAAACGAATTTAAATTCCATGTGCAAAGTTTTTGATACAATCACATTATTACCGGGCCGGGAATGGGAATGACCACAAGAAAACCTGTGACATCCATCATTGTGAAACCTAACTTACTCCTCGTACTGTTCAAAGAGTCGTAAAATCGATCCAAATGACGGGCTAGCATAAACTGACAGAAATAACAAACTAAGTTCTAGCAAGGAGATTTACTGCGTTATTGCGATAAGAAAGTATTCACATCAGTGTCTTTCAAATAAGGGCGAAAACTCCGTATCATCTGTATTTCTGACTAAAAACAATAAGGATGACTTAAGTTAAAAGTGAGTCAAGTTTACATTTCAATTCATTTAAATGTCACAGTCACGGCACCGGGATCACGCGCAGATGTTCGAGTGCTTGATTGCAGCACGATCAAAGTTGACGATGTGGAAGACTCTGAGACATTCTGAAAAACTCTAGTGACGCGGACATCAACGAAGTAATTTCAGCTCCAAACGTGTGTTGAATCATCCTACAAATCTTATTGGAAAAAATTAAATCATTCAGGCAGCAGTGCTTCATTTTCAAAAAACAACGTCTTACAAACAGGCCGCGTGAAGTTTCACGGTGAAAGATGAAAGGCTAGTGAACTAGTTGAACTATATTATGAACGCGCGATCTTTGGACTGCGATCACAAAACTAATCAAACCACTCTGCACATAAGTTGTCCGAAGCATAATCGAAATTTCTGTCGACTACCGATACACACATTTTCTGACATTTCCCTGGCATTAGTTTCACTTCTGAAAGAACATCAGTAGCTCAGACAGGCAGATAAATGCTGGCAATCAATAGGCGCATTTCAAACAGGTTCAAGTCCGTGCTTATCGTTTAACAACGAACATCGACCTATGAAGCAATTGCAAAGGCATGCAAATTTTAAGTGAAGAAAACCTATGCTTACGCGACGCTCGCATCGACTTCGAAAGTCCAAAATTTCACGACTTTGTCAGCACCACCCGTAGCTATGCCGTCCTATAAGAAACAAGTAAATAAACAAGGAAACTTTGACTGGACGAAACAATGCACGACCGGTTACCTGATGTGGAAAAAGTTCAATAGTCGAAACAGGACCATTGTGTGCTTCAACCGTTTGCAGCAACGTTCGGCTACCAATATCAAAAAGGAGCAGCGAACCGTCCTTTGAAAAAAGCATCATTACCCCAAAACGATCATCCTGAATATAGCGCAACACGGGGAGAAGAAAAACAGCGTTGCTGTCATCGCATCTCGGATAAATGCCCGAAAGTTAGGATGAAAGAGAAAATGGTTACTAAAGCTTAAACGAACCACCAAAACACGTTCCTTGTAATCAAACTGCAACCAAACTCCGCCATGGCCGGTCCCAACCCCGGATGAGAAAGGAGGAGGGTTGGAGACCGTGGCAAGTCTCCGTAAAATTCAGCCACCTGCCACTCAT